CTTTTTATATTGGATAATTTTTCCTGTTGGCTTATCTAATGGATGAAACCAACCAGAGACTAAAAATTCCTGTTGCTTTTAAATACAGATTGTCAGCAGAAATTTGAATAAGATAAAAATTATAGGAAGGAAATACAGAGGAAGATGGTCCAGGAAAAGGGAAATAAGATCATGACTGTTTCTCAGCCTACATAGCTACATCTGGTGGTGAGTGACTCTGGGTTTTTTTCAGAAATTACTTAAGGGTCAGGGATTACAAAAGGAATGAACAAAAAAATGCTCCAGAGTCTTAGTATTTGGCTCTTCAACAGAACTTCCTAGTATTAGTGGAAATGGGTTAAGTACACATTCTTACTATGTCATTTGAGATACTTGAACTTTGGTGTTTTGTACACATATGTGAGTTTAAACTTTAGCCAGAAAAAAAAAAAAGAAAAAACCTCAGTGTTATTTTAATTTGGATTGATTTGATTTTAGCCAGATTTCCAAACAAGGCTAATTTCAAACTTCTTAAATTCTTCAAAGACTATATTGCCACAAGGAAAACAGTAAACTGAGTAATGAAAATGACCAATTATATGCAGCAGAAATTAAAGTCTTCTATAGAAAAGATTGATAAATCATTCTGATACCATGAATCATAAGTAATTGTGAATGAAAATTGGAGCATCAGACCTGGTCATCTTGTGATTTCCTATTCTTTTTATTTAGAAGAGGAATCTTATGTTATAATAAATTGAACCAATATCAAATGAACTGAGTGCATCAAATGTGGGTTAAATATTTTCCTGAAAGAAACAATCACTTTAATGACCTAAAGAGTCACCATTTACTTTATAAATTTTAGAAGGGCAGAATTTAGGAGATAACCTAATTTTATCTATACCTAAAAAATATATGCAGAGAGGATCCACGTCTTATAAAAGTTACAAGGCAAAACAAGAACCCTGCTTTTTTTGAGCTCAAGTTAGTATTAAATCACTTCCCTGGTGGCTCAGATGGTGAAGAGTCTGCCTGCAGTGCAGGAGACCTGGGTTCGATCCCTGGGTTGGGAAGATCCCCTGGAGAAGGAAATGGCAACCCACTCCAGTACTCTTAACTGGAAAATTCCGTGGATGGAGGAACCTGGTAGGCTACAGTCCATGGGGTCGCAAAGAGTCAGACAGGACTGAGCGACTTCATTTTCTTTAGTATTAAATCAACTCCAATAAAACTAACTTCAATATTTTCTTATAGACTTTTCTTTATATGGATTTTTAACAGCATACATTAGAAAAATAGTCAAAGAACATTTTTCCTTTTCTTTGTATGTCAAGGTACATATGTCATAGTCTTTGCTCTTTTATTCTTTAAAAGTGAAAATAACGACATGGTTAATTTTTTTTTTTTGTCATTCTTTAAAACATTTGTCAGGAGACAGTGGGCTGATGATAGAGGTTTGTTTCTGATTATGTCTGTCATCTTCACTGAAGAATGATTTCTACACATACTATTTTGCAAAACAACTTCTATTAGAAGTAACATATATAAGTAAAAATCAACACTACAGTTGGATACAATTAATACCAGACTTTAACATTTGTCTATTCAAAATCTTTGCTTGATAAAATATGTTTTTGAGAATTCATGAGAAATTGCTTACCATGGTTGCTCTCTGGGAGATGAGTGCCATGCTTAGGAATAGGGAGGTACCTGCTCTTTTTTTTTTTTTTAAGTACCCATCATTTTACCATTTAAAATCAAACAACAACAACAAAACATTTTTCAGAATGCTGTGTGATCATGAGATTTCAGCATTTCCCAACTCATTTTAGTGTAATCAATTTACTTAATATGATTTTAGCATGTGAATTTGATTAAAACTATGAATTTTTAAGTATACTAATATGCACTTCATCTCTAATTTAAGTCTGATAATACTGTGGAAAAAGTTAAAGAACCATTATGGTTTTATAACTATCACTGCAGGCAACTAGATGATTTCACAGGGAAGAAATTTCCAGGCCAAAATAACCCTACTTTTATGATTTGGAACAGGCATACATTAATTTACTTAACCAACCTATTTAATTTGGGTGCTGAGCTTATTCAATTCAGGCCACATTAACTTACTTTCACTAACTAATTTAAGCTATTTTTAACCAAGCTTTTAAATTTAAGCAATGGGGAAAATAAAAAGAAAAGAATCAGTTCTCAATACAGATTCGGTTTTTTTGTCTTGGCTCATTGCTTGCTAACAGGGAAAACTCCCGCAGTTCTTCTAATTTTGAGCCTGGGAGCTCCTAGAATGTGTGGTATTTCAAATACAGAAAATGAAGCTCCTAAATATTTTTCTCTGTGAAAGTGGTTTATCAGATGTAGATACATAAAAATAGTTAGAAATGAAATGCACTTTAGCTAGTTCACCCCTCCCTTACTTCATCACATATCTCACAAATTGGAAAACCAAATTCCAGAAGAAAATAAATGACTTTTCCTAGTGATGGCCAGTGGCAAAGCAAGGACTGGAACTCATGCTGCTGCCCCTGCTGCTAAGTCGCTTCAGTCGTGTCCGACTCTGTGCGACCCCATAGACGGCAGCCCACCAGGCTCCCGTGTCCCTGGGATTCTCCAGGCAAGAACACTGGAGTGGGTTGCCATTTCCTTCTCCAATGCATGAAAGTGAAAAGTGAAAGTAAAGTCGCTCAGTTGTGTCCAACTCTTAGCAACCCCATGGACTGCAGCCTACTAGGCTCCATCCATGGGATTTTCCAGGCAAGAGTACTGGAGAGGGTTGCCATTGCCTTCTCCCCTGGAACTCGTGAGAACTCATCAAAGATTCTTTTCATTCTAATATATTCAATGAGGATAAACGGGTGGAGCCTAGTGAGGAATTATGAACAGAAAAACCTTTGCTTACAAAACAGAGAATGACTATGGTGTCTAAGGCCAAGTACCCGAAGATACTCAGTTAATGCCTCCACTCAACTTGAATTTTTTTTTTATTTAATTTTTATTGAAGGATAATTGCTTTACAGAATTTTGCTGTTTTCCATTAAACCTCAACATGAATCAACCATAGGTATGCATATATCCTCCCTTTTGAAACTCCCTCCCATCTCCCTCCCCATCCCATGGCTCTCGATTGATACAGAGCCCCTGTTTGAGTTTCCTGAGTCATAAGGCAAATTCCCGTTAGCTATCTATTTTACATATGGTAATATAAATTTCCATGTTACTCTTTCCATACATCTCACCCTCTCCTCCCCTCTCCCCAAGTCCATTCAACTTGAATTTGACTCTACAGGCAGGAGGTCGAGAAGGAAATATGCATCCCACCACTTGAGATACTTTATTTTCCTTTCTTCATGTTTCATTTTTCTTCTAGTCTTTTGAGCATCATTAACAAGGTTTTAGATAGTTAAAGGGAAACTTTGTATGGCAGGCAAACATCTGACACATCATTCTTCCTGGCTTTACAAAGTAGCAGCTAGATGCATATGGCTTTCCAGAAGTGGAACAACCAAAACTAAGTGGATCCACTGCAAACATACAGGAATGTGCTTGAGCCAGAAATTCAAAACCCTTGGTGTCAAGTGTCATCCAAACCTTGACAGATAGGGAATGGAGAAATACTTTCTGGTAGGGCTTTATTTTTTACTTTTTTTAACTTTTGATTTTTTTTCATTTATTTTTATTAGTTGGAGGCTAACTACTATACAATATTGTAGTGGTTTTTGCCATACATTGACATGAATCAGCCATGGATTTACATGTGTTCCCCATCCTGATTCCCCCCTCCCACCTCCCTCTCCGCCCGAACCCTCTGGGTCTTCCCAGTGCACCAGGCCGGAGCACTTGTCTCATGCATCCAACCTGGGCTGGTGATCTGTTTCACTCTTGATAGTATACTTGTTTCAATGCTGTTCTCTCAGAACATCCCACCCTCGCCTTCTCCCACAGAGTCCAAAAGTCTGTTCTGTACATCTGTGTCTCTTTTTCTGTTTTGCATATAGGGTTGTCGTTACCATCTTTTTAAATTCCATATATATGCGTTAGTATACTGTATTGGTCTTTATCTTTCTGGCTTACTTCACTCTGGTAGGGCTTTAAATTTTCTACTTCTGTCTTCTCCAGGACCATCCGCTTATACTTGAAACACTACAATTATTCCCCTGAAAAAAGAGTAAAATCCCTGCTGTTGAGGATGCCAATTTATTAACGTCAGAGCTATAAACAATATTGACATCCCCAAACTCTTTTTTATCCCAAATTTGTAAATGCATTTCAAGCATTTAGCAGACTGGTTGTGTTCACATCAACAGATGTGTTGCGCATTTCTGAGATGATAGCTCAGTTTCGTTTTCCTCTCGGGCCTTTTCTTAAGCGTCCGCATTTCCCCACAGTAAACATGTGTGTAGCTGGGGGGAAAGTTACATGCTGTGTATTTCTGAAACTCTTGGAGAAGTGAAGGGCCGTTATTTCCTGCCGGGTAGCGTCCTCCTTTTCTTGCTTCAAGAACAAAACCCGGATGTGACTTGGGAAAAGAGGGGGTGGGGAAGGAACAAAAAGTAAAACTTTTGTTGTTTCTCCAGGAAAGTGGACTAGCTCAACTCCTACCCTTGGGCCCCAGCCCAGGCCGGTCCTCCCTCGGGCGTGGCAGGGTCGGGAGCCCGGGCGGGTCGGGCCAGCATCCCCGCGGGAGCCCGCTCAGCGCGCAGCCTCTCTGCGACTTCGGGCCGCCTTTGCAAACTCAACCCTCCCCGGGCTCCCAGGGGCAGATCTCCTGATGGTGTGGGGACCTGAGCAAAAGGGCAGGAGCTTTAAGATCCTGGGACGCTCGGGTGGGCTGGCGTGAGGGGATCTCGTCGGGGCGCTGGGGACCGCCGCTAGGAGAGGCGGTCACCTTCTGAGCGGGCGGGGCGCGCAGGCAGCACAGTTAGTTCGGGACGCGCCCTGGTTTGCGGCACTTGCAGCCGCTCCACTTCCAGAGCTGTCCCTCAGTCCAGTCTCTGGCGAAAATGCCGGCCCTTCACATCGAAGATCTGCCAGAAAAGGAAAAGCTGAAGATGGAAGTTGAGCAACTTCGCAAAGAGGTTAAGTTGCAGAGACAGCAGGCAAGTTGGATGTCCCAGGATATTTCCTTCTGTGAAATGAACCAAGATCGGTGTTGTCTAGTTTGTTGCAGTAAAACAAATAGTTTCTTGGCTCTTGGGTGGGTGGGGGGAGTTTGTTTCTTTTCTTGCTTTTTCTGCAGCTTCTTTTGAAGGGGGCTTTGGTGGTGCTTGAGAATTGCCTGTTGATGTGGGGAGATCATAGGAGGTTAAGGAGAGAGCAAGGATCTCATGAGTAATTTAAAGCCAAATGTTTGAGAATGAGGGGAACAAACGAGAAATTCTGCCAGCAATTAGACAGTTGATTACCCAAGCTGTAGGGAAAAGCAGATGGCTACTTAGTTCCTTGATCTTTTTCATAATGGGAAAGAATAGCTTTTAAAAGTTGGAGGAGTTTTTGTTTGTTTTGGTTTTGGCTTTCTTAATCATAATGTGTCTTGAGTTATCTAGTTTTGAGTGTTTATCAGGGGTCTCCAAGAAGTGTGATGAGCAGTCTGCTGGGGCTTGGGTGCAAAATGTTACAGTATCCATCTTTGTTTATAAACTTCTTCCCTTTATCATTTCCACTTTATGCTTTGTAAGTGTGCACAGTGAACTAATACCTACACAGTACTATCTGTGTTTATTTAGAAATAAACAACATTAATAAGTAATTAATACTGCATACAAACATTCTTTTTTTGTGATTATGATTAGAAATTTTAAAGACCACTGAAGTGATCACAGATTTTGTGAGAATGTATGCACCAGTGTTCAGAAGTCTCCCCTGAAATTTGTTGGAGACTTTGTCATTTTTATTTCAAGTTTTTACTGGTTATACAGGCCTTCATTCCTTCCCTTTTTCCTCAATCAGGCAACCTGTAGTCCAGGAAAAGGTTTTTGGATAGATATTTTTTTAAGATAAATGATGTAGTTCTTTCTCCCCAGCAAGAAGAAGTTAAACTGACTTTATATCTCTGTGGTTTAATACTAGAAAAAGTCAAGAAAAACAGTGGAAAGGAAGTAGGTACGGTGAATATGTTCACTTATCTTCCTACTTTAGTTATGATAACTCTATTCGTGACAAGAGTCATTTTACTCAGAAGGCACATTTTCAATGATATTTGGAAGATGCAGACTTTTGAGGGAGTTATTTTTTATACATTTCTTTTCTCAAATGTAATCTGTAACTTCCAAATCCCCAGTCTTCCAAAATTTTGAAGTTCAAAGTCCTTTCTGTACATGTTGAAAGTTTTTGTAGCTTTAAAAATACTGCTGTGTTTAAAGGAAAAAACAAAGTTATAAGACAAAGTGAATAGGCTTATTTCTTGAAACTTTTAAGAGACTCATTTTGTGTATGGCAAAGCCCATCTGTTAGCCACTTAGATCTTCTTGACACAACGAATCTTAGAGGTTACATATTAAACAGAGTTGCATGGATTGAAGTAAAGCGTTGTCTGTGCCTGGGTTGGAATATTTTAATATTTTGTATCACAATGAAGAACTTATAGGGGGAAAAAAAGAGATGTGTCCTCCACTTGCCTAAAGCTTCAAATTAGAAATTGGGCAAAGGTCTAGATGCACTTAGGGCTTCCCTGGTAGCTCAGCTGATAAAGAATCTGCCTGTAATGCGGGAGACCTGGGTCTGGCCACACTTCTAATAACAACTACCAGTAAAGAGGACAATGAATTATATAGTTATAAATCATTCCGATGTAGGACAGTCTCTTAAACCACTTAGGAAATAAAGTCTTGCTCAGTTCTGTGCCCCTTCACTGGCACCAGAGATGCAGGAAGTAATTTCCGCATCATTACTGCTACCCTAGTCGTCCGGGATTTCTCATCTCTCCTATCGTTGGACTTCCCGGGAGCACAGTGGTAAAGAACTTGCCTGCCAACACAGGAGATTCAAGAGATGCAGGTTCAGTCCCTGGGTGGGGAAGATCCCTTGGAGAAGGGAATGGCAACCCACTGTAATATTCTTGCCTGGAGAATCCTATGGACAGAGGAGTCCATGGGGGTTGCAAAGAGTTGGACACGACTGAGCGACTTAACACTTGCACACTTCACTAGATGCAGCAGACTGTGTGGAAGTTAGAGGGATCATTCATTAGCAATTGCCCCCTTCCAGCTCTCCACCTCCACTCTGTAGGGACACATCCTGCTGGAGTGACTTTCTTGGGGAGAAGGAGCAGAGGGGAGAAAACTTTCAGGGAAACCTCAGAGGACAGAAGGAGAAACATCTAAGACCTAATAGTAAGATTCCACCATTTTATTATGCACTTTGAATTATAACATGTTCATGCTAGAAAAGCATTATGGCTCTTAGAGATAATTCAACCCTCTCACTCTGAAGGATTAAAAAACCAACCTGAATTCCAAGGAGGCTAACTAGCCCCTTATTTAAGGCCCCAGAGATAATGACAGAAATATTATTAAAACACCAAGACACACATCTTCTGATGCCCAGTCAATGAACTGTTAATATCTGAGCTGTGTGTTCTGCTCAGGCCAAAGATACAGAATTCACAGGCTGAGTTCTGGCTTGTAGCTAATTGTTGTTCAAAAATATTCTCTTGATCATGGAAGGAAATACATTAGAGAGGCCATTGTTCACTCTTGGAGATTACACAGCTTTTTGGACACTTAATGAAGAAGGCTCTGTAACAGATAGCATTTAGGGAAACATGAGTTTAATTTTTTTCTAACTACGTTTCAGCCTTTCTTTTTTGATGTGGGCCATTTTTTAAAGTCTTAATTAAATTTGTTACAGTATTGCTTCTGTTTTGTGTTTTGGTTTTTTGGCCAGGAGGCATGTGAGCTCTTAGCCCCCCAACCAGGGGTCAAACCTGTACTCCCTGCATTGGAAGGCAGTCTTTACCACAGCACTGCCAGGGAAGTGCCAACATGAGTCTTATCTGCAAATTTCTCTGTGGTCACAGAGCCCAGCTTATGGATACTTATGTCATCACCTCTGCGAATTCACTTAAAATGCCTGCACAATGATTGTCCTCAAAGGTTACCCGAGAGAATGATACTTGTAAAGATTTTATTTTGCCACATTTTAACTGTGTTGCCTAGTTTTAAATTTTATTTTCAGAGGCCTCCACACTGATGTACCAAGAAATCTTTGAGGTGTGGGAGTAAAACATTTTTTTTTTAAATTTTAATGCAGTGCAATAGACATGAAAAATTGTGTTAATAATTTTAGGCATATAACATAGTGATTTGATATGTGTGTATATTACAAAATGATGTTTTTTTGGTTACCTTAAAGTCTGATCTTTTAATAATTTCTAGTTTATGTTTTATGGTTATACATGATATATTAACACAGTAACTTCACTTAAGTGTAATAGAATAATTATGTACATTCTAGGATACACATGCAGACATTTTTTAGTGATCAACATTGAAACAGTTTGGAGGTTACTAATCTAGATAACAGAATCAGTGGAAACATTGCCTAGTTTTAAGAGGACTCTATTAGAATTTTCTGGAACTTCTATAATTTTTACTTCTTATTTCTTACTAGTTAATGCTGATCTTCATTAAGCAGTAATTTTTTCTTTCCCTCCTTTCCTTTTTTCTCCCCTCCTATTTTTTATATCACTCTTATAAACTGTCTCTTAAGGATAGACTTTTTGAAGAAACTGTTCAATCCTTTCTCCACTCAGAAAAAGTTTACACTACTTACATAAACACAAGCCTCAGATAAGCCTTTTCTTATGATCAATTCTGCACAGAAACACAGGTGGAGGGTTGGGGGGAGATGAAGGGGCATGGGGGTGTCACCAGTGGGGTGGAGAAACTTTGGGGCAACTTTTGCTTTTCCAGATCAGACTTTCTCCAATGCTGCTATCATTCTGTGAAATTGAAGAACCTGACACATACTCAGTAAAGTGAGAATTTTTGCAGGAAACACACCAAAACTTTTGGGGAGTAGCTGCACTGTAACAATTCATTAGCATGGAACATTGAAAGCGGAGTGTGTTTCAGTTCCTCAGATATTATGGAGCTGTCATCATTGTATTTTAGCAGAGGAAGGAAATCATATGAGACATAGTGGATAGAAATGGCTGGGGATAATATTTTTAATACAGTGACTCTCAAACTTTCTTAATGCTACTGTAGTAAGAAATCTATTTCACATAGACTGTATCATTCATATATATTATATAGGCTCTGTGCTACACTCTAATATTTTCGTCAATTCTATTTGATTTTTAAAATGCTGGTTGTACCCGATTATGTTAATTTCACTAAAGTGTGGTGACAAAGTTTGAACAATGCCCTGATTCTTTCTTTCTTCTTTTCTTTCCTCCTTTCTCCTTAAGGTGTCTAAATGTTCAGAAGAAATAAAGAACTATATTGAAGAACGTTCTAGAGAGGATCCTCTGGTGAAAGGAATTCCAGAAGACAAGAATCCCTTTAAAGAAAAAGGCAGCTGCATTATTTCATGAATAACTGGGGAGACACTTGCCCCTCAGTGGAAGAGGTCCTTTGTTGTCGTTTTCCGAAATAAAACCAACCGCCTTTTAAGGGAGTAACAGTGAAATTTAAAGGAGACTTTCTTAAGCGCTCACCTAGATGCGGTCTTGTCTGCAAGCTGCATGCTTCGCATCCCTGTGCACCACACACCCCTTTTAAGAGGACAGAGAGCATCTGATGTGTGATTATGGGAGTAAGGACACCACTTATGCATGACTCAGCTCCTTCAGTATATTGCTTCATGCCTCAAATAAAGTTTTATCTCTGCAGATTGAGTGTTGGCAACTTCAGAAGGCTTTCTCTCTCTCTCTTTTTTTGCATTACCTTTGATACTTCTCCCCATAACCTTTCAGCTGTTTGGGACCTGTCTCTAAAGATGAGGTGGTTTGACAGGCAAGGTCTCAGATCCAGCTCTCTCTGCTTCAAATCTCAGGAGGTTTACAGCACTGAGTTCTGACTCCTGGAATGTTTTTATCTAACATTAACTAGTAGGGAACTGAGTGAGTCTGGGGGCGCTAGTGGTAAAGAATCTCCTGCCAATGCAGGAGACGCAGGAGACACGGGTTTGACTCCTGTGTCAGGAAGATGCCCTGGAGAAGGAAATAGCAACCCACTCCAGTATTCTTGACTGGAAAATTCCATGAACAGAGAAGCCTGGTGGGCTACAGTCCATTGGGTCATAAAGAGACATGACTGAGCGTGCACACTCACACACACAACTGAATGAGTAGAATTCCTAATGTTGACTGAGTCAAATAACTGAATCAGGAACTAGACCAAGCCTCATCTAGTTCAACCACTTCCCAGTTTATCGTTGGACAGATTTTGTTCAGAATGCTGCTATGATGATGGCGGCTGGAAATGCAGGGGGCTGGGGATCTGGAGGAGCCCCTTTGGGGCCAGCCCTGCTCTGCCTCCCACAGGGCGGCACATCTCATATGTGATCACCAGGTCTTTCCGTGGCGACCATCCAGTTCTGTGGCATTGAGCACTGGCACAGATGCTTGGCTCTGTGCCCATGCCAACCAGCCTTTTCCAGCAGGCCTGTGCCAAGCTCACCTTTTTTCTTTCTCCAAAGGAACAAATCAATCTTTTGCCAACTTCTAAAATTAGCTTGCCTTGCTTCTCATTTGCTTGGTTGGAATTCTTCCTTTATTCTGGCCACTCAATCCTTTGCTGGTGACAGGTGTTGTGAATATTTTCTCCCAGTCCACAGCTTAAATTTTCAGCATGGGATCCTAGCTGTCCTAGCGAGCCTAAGGGTGCAGCGCACCAAAGAAGACCCCCTGGCCCCAAGGAGATCTCAGAAAAGCTGCGCTGTGCTCAGTCACTCACTTCTGTCTGACTCTTTATGACCCTGTGAACTGTAGCCTGTCAGGCTCCTCTGTCCATGGAATTCTCCAGGCAAGAATACTGGAGTGGGTTGCCATGCCCTCCTCCAGGGGATCTTCCCAACCCAGGGATCCAACCTGGTCTCCCACGTTGCAGGCAGATTCTTTACCTTCTGAGCCACTGGGGAAGCCCATGAATACTGGAGTGGGTAGCCTAACCCTTCTCCAGGGAATCTTCCTGACCCAGGAATCGAACCAGGGTCTCCTGCATTGCAGGTGGGTTCTTTACCAGCTGAGCTACAATGGAAGCCATCTCGGAAAAGGGGCAGACCATGACTGTAAAACAATCAAAAACAAGAAAAACTTTAAAGCAATGTATGAATAGAGGTGAAAGGATATTATTAAAGCATCAAACAATAGGAAATATGAGGAAATAATGTCCATAAAAGGAGAAATACAATATTTTTCTAGATGAAGTAATACCATTAAAATGTTTGTAAATTGCTGTTCACAGCAGGGTCCCAGTAGGATATGTTTGCTCTGACAGTTTTAGTGGAAAACACAGAAGGATGATTTGTCAAACATAGCGGGACATTTAAGACATGATTTGGTTTATAATCAAATTGGCCTCCCTGGGTGTAAAGAATCCACCTGCCAATGCAGGAGATCCAGGTTCAAACCCTGAGTGGGAAAGATCCCCTGGAGAAGGAAATGGCAACCCACTCCAGTATCCTTGCCTGGAGAATCCCACGGACAGAGGAGCCTGGCTACTACGGTCCATGGGGTCCCAGAGAGTCAGATGCAACTTAGCGACTAAACAACAATCTATAATTAAGATTAGGTTTTCATCATTGGGGAGATGATGTTTTAACAATCAGTTATCCACTCTCCAAAACAACATACCTAGACCTTACAAAGAAATATGAGACAATTGTATTTAGCAGCTCTAATTATGACATAAATGGCAACTCACTCCAGTATTCTTGCCTGGAGAATCCCAGGGACAGAGGAGCCTGGCAGGCTACAGTCCACAGGGTCATAAAGAGTCGGACATGGCTTAGCGACTAAACCACCATGATTGTAAGTGTCCTACAGAGTATATGGGGGTGGAGTGTAGGATCAGGCCACTCAGGATGGCTGTTCTCTCTCGGTACATCCCCTGCCCAACTGGTACTTGCTTCGCCTATACGCTACCCACCCCGCTGACCTTCCCACGACCTTGCCCTGGGCCCCAGCTAGTGCTTGCTCTCAGCAAAGGGGGCTGTGAGAGGCACACCCCTCTACTGGTTTCCCTGGTAACTAATGGACCCACCTTATATCAATTCCCCTATAACTGGCAACCTCTTTTCTTCCCCCTCCTGCTTCAGCAAAGGCTGCTGCTGTGTGCTGCCCGCCCTTCCTTGCACACTGTGGGTTGTTGCTCCAGGACCTTGTTTCAGACTTGTAAGTCCTCCCATTCTTTAAACCATCGATGTCTCTGTTGTTGGAAACAAATGAACAAAAAACTCAACAGCAAAGTATACAGCCGCCTCCCATCTTTCATAAAGGCACAAGGAACACAGCCCCAAAGAAAGGAAACTTCCTTTCTTTGAGCATATTCTCCTTTCCCCCTGTTTTTGGATGCAAACTGCTCCAGGTTGAAGTAAAATGGAAGAGAAGCAAAACCCTGACAGGTTAGCTCCGACTCAAACGGGTTTAGTTACTAATTTGCGGTTTTAAATGTGGCATATAAGCCCAGGCTTCTTCTCAGTGAGATCTTTCCTCCTGCTTAGATGCTTGCTCATCCTCAGTCATGTCTGACTCTTTTTCGATCCCATGGACTGTAGCCTGCCAGGTTCCTCTGTTCACAGAATTTTTCAGGCAAGAATATTGGAGTGGGTTGCCATTTCCTTCTCCAGGGGATCTTCCTGACCCAGGAATTCAACCCGCATCTCCTGTGTCTCCTCATTGTAGGCAAATTTGTTACCACAGAGCCTTTGGGGAAACTCCTACTTAGATGCGTGTTGTTCAGTTGCTAAGTCATGTCCAACTCTTTGCGACCCCATGGACTGCAACACGCCAAGGCTCCCTGTCCCTCACTATCTCCCAGAGTTTGCCCAACTTCATATTCATTGAATTGCTTAGATGCATGCTGCTGCTGCTGCTAAGTCGCTTCAGTCGTGTCCGACTCTGAGCGACCCCATAGAGGGCAGCCCACCAGGCTCCGCCGCCCCTGGGATTCTCCAGGCAAGAACACTGGAGTGGGTTGCAATTTCCTTCTCCAGTGCATGAAAGTGAAAAGTGAAAGTGAAGTGGCTCAGTCATGTCTGACTCTTCGCAGCCCCATGGACTGCAGCCTACCAAGCTCCTCCGTCCATGGGATTTTCCAAGCAAGAGTACTGGAGTGGGGTGCCATTGCCTTCTCCAGCTTATATGCATAGGTGTACCTAATTAAACCAGAGATGTGCCAGTGAACTCTACTAGCTTCCTGGAGTATGTCAGCATCCTCACTCCAAAATTACTTTCTTTCCTCTCTCAGGGAAGGAATAGGATACCCAGGCCTTTGAAAGAGCAGGTTACAGCAACACCCAAGAGCAGGAAATATTTCCTTCAGTTTCCTGCCTTTCTCTAAGAGTTGACGTCAATTGGAATTACTGAGACCCCTGGGATATTTTTATCCCAAAGCATGATCTACTCCACAGTGAAGTTAAAAAATGTAATGATATATTTTTTCCAACAACCATGGAACAACCAGTATTTGGGATGTATTGCTACTATTAACATTTAAGGTGGCATGGAATTAGTACACTTGGTGCTTGACAAGTTTTACTTTAATGAGCTGTTTCATTTCTTTCAAGTCATAAGGTTTTCTTCTGTTGTTGAGGGAAGCAAACATCTGTTCTGGTTATTGGGAAGGGGTATGTGTGTGTGTGGTGTGCTAGTTGCTCAGTCGTGTCTCTCTGCATGTCTCTCTGCATGTCTCTCTGCGTGACTCTCTGCCGTTCCATGGCCTGTACCCAGACAAGCTCCTCTGTTCATGGTCTTCTCCAGGCAAGAAGACTGGAGTGAGTAGCCATTCCCTTCTCCAGAGGATCTTTCTGACCCAGGGATAAAACCCAGGTCTCCAGCATTGCCGGCAGATTCTTTACCATCTGAGCCACTAGATCAAATCACTTGCTTCTTCCATGGAATGCCAAGACAGCATCTGTATCCTCTAACTTCTTGAGAGTTGTGGATTACAAGGCTGACCCCAGATTTCTATGCAACATTCACCTATTCAGTCATGTATGCTTCTGAGTCCCAGCGCTTCTCTTCATCTACTTTCAGCCATATGACAAATTAGTCAGTCCACTTTTGTTTTTTTCCTTAATAAGAATCCAATATCACGGATATTTCTCCTAAATATTAATTATGCTTTTTTTGTCCTCACTGTTTCATCTTAGTAACTCAGCAAACCTATAGAATTGCAATAAAATCCTCTTGATTTTAGAGTGTTCAGCTGCTAAAAATATATTAGCATGTATTAGGAAGAAAATTAAAAAATATGATAACCATATATTCAGATATATTATAAAAGTAACCTTCAGTAAGTAGGAATTTGTTAGGATTTAAATCATGTGTTCAATTTCTTCCAAGAATCTAGTTCTGTAATCATTTGGTAT